AACAAACTTGCCAACCAAATGACAAACAGGCAGACAGGCAGACAGGCAGACAGGCAGGCAGGCAGGCAGGCAGGCAGATAGGCAGACAGGCAAGGACATTTGAAATCACGATTGTGCACACTGAAGTTTTTGAAATGTGATGAGTAACCTCCCCACTTTCCCTCTCCAACTCACAAGCTGTATTTGAAAAAAAACACAAATTTGATATGCATTATTATGTAGGGAACAAGCGTGCTGAAAGTTGTCGCAAGAGATGGTGATGCTGGTATTAAGGACCAAATAAAATACGAAATATACAAAGGTATTACTTATATTTGACACAATTTCTTATCTGCCAATGTTTTGATGACTTAATCATAAGCATTTCAGCATTATATAAAGAATACTGACTGATGCAAAGGTGTCACCAATATTGAGTGGAGCAGCAAGTCGTCCCACTCCAACCCTTATGTTGACAAGTTTTCTTATCTGCTCCACAGGAACTTGTATCCACATACCTTAATGCTAATGAGGAAGAGGGAGGGATAATGTACTAGTTCTATGTTATCGGTCAGCTTTTTTATTGGACTCTAATCTTTTGTTCTTTGAAATCTTTTCAGGTAATAATGGTACGTTTACTATTAGCAGCAGTACTGGTGTCATTACGGTCAACAGTACAATCGACGCGGAGAAGACACAAAGCTACGAACTTCACATCCGAGTAAGATATCCATCTAGTAAAATATATTTAGTCCACAGTAGTTAGCTCCACAGATGTTAAACTTTCTTTAAACTTGTAGTTGTTTTGCATCCAATGTACCTTTTATCTACATCTATTTCTGTTTCTGCCAACATTGCTATTACCATTGCTATTATATATGTTTATCTTTTGTACGGTTGCTGAAAGTCATGTCCGTGAGGTTTTTCTTTATTCTTTTACGCGTCGTGGTTTCCTACGCTCCTCTCGTGTTCTCCCAACATCCCGCGTGTTTTGATCAGAGTATCAAACACAGAAAACTGTTTTTGATTTGTTTTATAAAATAACAAACGCGCGAAAAGATCGAAGAAAAGCAAAGTCTAAGTAAATTCTCCCTACGAGCCGTCTTATTTAAACTGACCAATGAGCGCGCGCGATAGATTAAAAATGACGATAGCGTGTTTTGATACTCTCATCAAACATGGTTTTCGACCAATCCTAGCGCGCGTAGTATACCAATTATTTTATAAATACTTTTAAAATCTATTCTGTTTTTCAGGCTTCTGAAGTTCCCAATCCAAGCTCCAACGCTACAGTGTCAGTACTAATAACTGTGATAGATAAGAACGATAATCCTCCTATCTTCTCGAAAGATATCTATTCATTTTCATTACGAGAGGATCTGGCCGAATCTGGAAAAATTGTTACTGACCAGTTGATCGTCAGTGATGCCGACAAAAACGTAAGAGCTGATTAGCAATAT